AAAAAAAAAAAAAAGAAATTAAAAAGATATAATTGCACTGGGCAAATTTGTTGTCAAAGACCTTCTCAAAGGGATGTTAATTTAAGAACTAAGGTGCACCTGATCCAAGCCAAGGTATTTCACTTGCTTTTTTTTTCAGTGGATCTGAAAGGTGGACTATGGATAAAAGAAGAAAAACTGATGGGGGTGGGGGGAGAACTGATGAAAATAAAATTATGGAGTGGTATAGAGCACTGAATATACCTTGAAATAAAAAAAAAATAAATCACTAACAAATTTGTCCTGGAAGATGTGCAGACAGAATGCTCCTCAGAAGCACGGATGGTCAAATTTCATCTCAGGTACTTTAGGCAAGTTATCAAGAGAGGCCTGCCCTTGGAAAAGGATCTCACTCCAAAAAGCAGAGGGTCAAGGAGGAAGACCCTCCAACGAGACAGACAGACACACCGACTCTAACAATGGACCTAATTAAGTTGAATCCCAGGCAGGATTGGACATTGGACAAGGTTTCGATTTGTTTTACAAAGGGCTGCAAGTGACTCACAATGAGGTTGAAAAAACATGACAACAATAATACTAAAACCCAGAAAATAAACTAAAATGCTCAAGAAATAAAACTAGATTGGGCTTTTTTTTTTATATTCACTACATTTTTATTTTAAAGATATTATACTAAAGAAAATTACCCAGTCATACAATGACAGATATTGTAGGACCTCACTTTTATAAAAAGACAAGAAAGTACAAATATAGAGAGATCAAAGTTTATTAGTGATTAACAGGGAAAGGAGAGAAGGAAATGTTAATAGTGATGAGAAACTACAATGACTAAGCTAAAGGTTGCACAGATAATTCTTATAATTGTCAGTAATTTACACTTTAAAAAATTTAAACTGCTAAAAGTTGCATAATATATTTACAGAAATTGGAAAAAGAGGGAGAGCAGTTGCTGAAGTTGCTATGTACAACCAAAGCCTTATCTTACTTTAGAAGTTTAGGGTCATGGTATCATGGTTCATCCTGGTTAATTAACCTAACAATGTGTCTAGTGTTTCTCTTCTACCTCCTAATGAAATGTGTGGGGTAGTCAAATGACCTCCTAAGGCAGAGTACTTGGTCCTTATCCACCTGAAGCAACAAAGATAGAAGAAGAGTCTGAAGTATGAAGAATATATGAGTTGTGTGGCTTAATGGTCTCTATTAACAGCTGGTTTGGGTTTTTTTTTATCATGAGAAGAACTGGATGGTTCCTGGCAAACAGTATAGAAAATATGGATCAAAGAGTCTATAAAAGAACAGGAAAAATGTAGAATACAATTTCAAATTCTATATTACCACACTTTATGAAGTCATGAAGGCAAGATGAACCCTAATATGTCTTCTTATATTTTTTCTTTCTTTGAAGCTTTTTAAAAAATTGATATTTTAATGAAGGTTTATAGAAAACTTGGATTTCCATTCATTCATTGTTGTACATTTCCCTCCCCACCCACCCCCTCCAGTTTGTTTTTCTCTTTGGAAAAAAAAATCTTTCATTGTTGTTTAATTTCCAACCCCAGCACCCAATACCCAGTCAACGTTACTATGCAGCTCTTATTCTGGACTGTTCTCATGCATATAATAGCTAATCATATATTCCTTTTAAGCAGTTCTTTCTCTCATCTGTTTCAATGCAGTGTACATTATTTAAACCCTCTTTTCTTAGTTTCCCACCAACCCCTATTTCAGTCCTATTTTATAACAGTAACATTATAGAGTATTTGCCATTTTGTGACTGAGATGTTTCACTCAGCATAATGTCCTCCAGGACCACCCATTTTGTATAATATTTCACAAGTTCCTTTTCAGTGCTGCATCATATTCCGTTGTGTAAATATACCACAGCTTCTCTATCCATTCGTTTGTTGATGGGCATTTGGGTTGTTCCCATCTCTTTGCTCTTGTAAACAATCCACAATAAACATAGACATGCATATATCTGCTTGGGTGGCAGTTCTGATTTCTTTAGGGTATATTCCCAGTAGTGGAATTGCTGGGTCAAGTGGTATTTCTGTTTCCAACTTTTTGAGAAAGTGCCATATTGCCTACCATTTTACACTCCCGCCAACCATGAATAAGGGTTTCAGTGTCTCCACAACCTCACCAGCATGTGTTGTTTGCTGCTCTGTTGAATTTTGTTATTGTTACTGGGGTGAGATGATACCTCATAGATGTTTCTATTTGCATCTCTCTGAGAGCTAGGGATTTTGAACATTTCTTCATGTGTTTATTTGCCATCTGAACGTCTTCTTTGGTGATGTGTCTGTCTGTTCATATCCTGTGCCCATTTTTAGATTGGGCTTTTTGTTATCGCTGTTAAGTGCCGTTGAGTTGTAGACACCATATGAATGAAAAGCCTGAACACTTGCGTAACTTTCATCGTTTCTCCACATTCATAGTTCCCAGAGGCAAGCTATTTCAGAAGTGGATGCCACTCGGGCTTCCATGCTTATTTTAACCAGGGAGCTCCACCAAACACTGTCCACCATGGGTAACCATTATCACATCTGACACATCAGAGTCACAGGGTTTAGCATCACAATGAGTTACCTCTGTACAGCAAATGGACAGACCGGTGCTATATCACCTAGAAGAATGTTTGACCAAAAACAAATAAAACCAGGCCTGAGAGCCACAGATAATGGCTGGGCTTTTTACCAAGAAAAAAAAGGAACTACAACAGGTCTAATGAGACTGCCTGAAAACGTGCTCTAGATGAAGAATGGCTGTAGCTGTTATAAGACCACTCTACCCAAGTTCTGTTTTTTTCTTCTAATTAAAGAAACTGTAACCCACACACATTCTTATTACTATTTACCTTAAAAATTAGTTTGTTTGTTTTTTTAAAACATGATTTTACCTGAAGTAAACTTTCCACGAAGTACAGATTCAAGTGTTATTTCATCTTCTCCAAGGGCTTGAATAGTTACTTCAGGGAAGTGCAGGAGACCACTCGTCACTTGTGCTGTTAGGTCTCGCATACTTCTGTAAATAGGTTTAAAAAGACAACATGATTAATGACATGTTTGCATTATTCTACTACACCTGATTACTTGGAACTAGGGCAGAAAAAAGGGTCAACTCACAAAAGTCACATTAACTAAAACAAAACTGATTTATTTTTTTTTTTATGTGTGTTTTTAATACATATCTCTAGTGTTCTATCTTCTAAGAAAATCTTTCCCAGGAAGTTCTGGTGGCCTAGTGGCAAGAAGCTGCACTGCAATCCCTGGGGCACGCAGTTCAAATCCACCAGATGCTCTTCTGGAGAAGGAGGAGCAATCTCCTCCTGTACCAGTCAGATCCAATTTGACAATACACACACAACAAACAACAAAATTTTTTTAAAATAGAAAATCTTTCTCAAATGGCCTTGTAAAATAGTCATGAATTCAGATGCTCTAATGAAATACTTCATATAACCTTTGACAAATATTCCATTACTATCTAACCTCCTCTTTAGGAACTTCACAATTTATATGGTCAGAAAAATCACCTCATTGGTTATTTGTTTTGTTTTTAACTTTATATCAGGATCTGAGAGCAAGTTTCAGAGCAAATTGTTTTCCACTCATTCATATACATTCTGCTTTGTGCCACTGATGTACAGCACTCTCACCTGCTCCCTGCCAGCTCTATCTATTCCTTTCTCTCCTCTCTCTTCTCGTCTCTTGAGCGTTACCCTTGGGCAAATGCTCTCCTCTTCATCTTGTAAGGTTGAATGCTCTAAGAATGTTTTGGTAAACAAACAAAACAAAAAAAATTGGGAGTAAGCTCAAAAATATCCAAACCCACAATAACTTCAGAAACTGAGTTCGGGTACATGCCATTCACTAGAGGTGGGGGAAAATGTGCCCCCCAGTTCTCCACATAAATTGTAAATACCAAAAATCTTGGTTGCAATATAAAATACCTTTCCAAACAATCACTAAGTTGGAAAGATAAAAGTGAAGAGAAGGTAAAAATTCTGGGAGAACTGCAAACTGGCTTTATCAAATCCAATCCTGGTACACTGATCTTGTTTTGAGCAATCTACCAGGAGCTAATACAGGCTCAGTGCCTCCTATTAAATTCCAGGGGCCCATATAAGCAACAAGTGAGTTAGGGAGATGCCTACTGTAGAGCATGGGCAGTAGTAAAGCTGGTCATGTTGACCATGACTCCTGCTCTTACTTAGAAATGGAAACTTCAGTTTCTGCAAGTCTGTAAGTGTAATGAATTCAAGTTATGCTATTTGAAAAACCTCAAGTGACGAAAAATATTCATAAAGATTATCAGATTCATAAGACACTAAGCAATCCATGGGGAGGGGGGGAGTGGAGGCAGATAAAATATACTCTAGAAACACAAACAATTCTCAAGTAAAATTCCAAACAAAATGAGTCAAATATACACAGCAACAGGATCAACAGCTAGCAGAATCAAGCCTTGAAAAGAAAAACAGAACTTTCAAACATTATAAATAAAAATAGGATTAGAAGATCTAGAAAAAAGCCAGAAATTCTAGAAGTGAAAAATAAATAAAATGTAAAAGTTCAATGGAGTAATAAGAACAAACTACAGTTATATGCAAAGTGTTAGAATATTATATTAAACAGTAAAAGCAACATAAAAATACATACAGAATAACTGCAATTACACAAAGTTAAAAACTATGCAAAATCAGGAACATTCTTCTCCTAAATTTTGGTGGTGAATTCATAGATATTTGCTGTATCATGATGCTACACATTTACTTTTGCACTCAGCTCTACATACTCAAAGATTTGAAGAGTAGACTAGATAAAGCCCAGAAAGTTATCTGGACTATGGTGCAGAGAAATAAAGAGATAAGTAGTTAAAAAGTTAAGAGACTACAGAGGGAGAAGCTCTAAAAGCTTAATCAGAATTCCGGAAGGCTACAACACTGATCTCTTCTAAAGAAGGAGACAACATCCCAAGATATATTTTCCAGCTCTAGAGAAACAAACACCCTGAAATAAAAAAGACAAGTAAATACTAGACACACTGATAAAATAAAATAAAAATTTAACAGAAAGAGAAGCCAAAACCCTGGAAGAGTTTACCATCACCAGATTCAAATACAATGTAGAACACTTTAGCGGGAAGAAAAACGGTCAGATATAAGGTATGAGATGTAAAAGGTCAAAACACTGAAGAAACAAATATATGTAAAAACTCTAAACAAACAGGAGACTACTATACAGGACAACAATACTACTGCCTAGTAGACAAAATTTAAATAAAGCATCTTCAGTCCTTTTACTGTCTGAGATATGAATAAAGACAAAACAGCATATCTAGATATTTAAAGTCAAAGAGGAAATACTATCTAATAAACATCACCAGTACAATTTGCCACCACTCATTTGGCATGAAGTTACACATTGATGGAGTCACAAAGTTACAGATGATACACATTATCTCCTTTTCTAATACCTAACAAATGAACCAAAGTGCACACAGACAAGAAATACTACATAACCAAAGTTTAAACAATCCAGACAACACTATCCAAGACTATCTGTATGAAGATAAGTATCAATTGAAGGGGTACAGATAACTAATAAATTTACTGAAAAATTCCATGTTTACAAGTCCCCAAATAGCATATGGTACCCCTACAAAAACAGAAATGGTTTCCTGGCCTGGAGGTCATTTTGTCACTTTCCTGGCAAAAGGATCCTAAAGTCTAGGTGAGTATACACTCTTGGAAAGAGTGACCACAGATAATAACCACTTCTGGTTTTAAGGCCATTTCAAGTAAGGATTAAACTCTGAAGACATTTTCATAGATGTCACTCAGAGGATTCTCTGGCAAAACAACTACAAAATAGCTAAAAACTCTTAAAGGATTCCTTTTTCCTTTATCTATAGCATTTCTACTTGATTCTCCATGTACCAACTTCACTTTGAAAGTTTCTGCATGTATATCTGCATAGAGATGTCTGAAGTAATCGGAAAATTAATTCTGTGCCATTCGAATTTGAGGTATTAGTTTCTTTTTACTTATGTAAGGCTCACACTTTTGTAACAAAATGTAATCAATTTCTTAAAATTATAATCTAAAAATAAAAACACTAATGATATCTAAGTAAGTAATTTTAAGGTGGAAAATGAATTAAGTCACTAATAATTTTTTTTTTCACTAATGATATATTACTCAGGGATGAAAAGGTGAGGAAAAATGGAGTTGCTTTCATAGTCAAAAAAGCCA